ATGCATAATTTTTTTTACATAATATCAGATTAGGTACGAAATAGTGTAACGACATTATATATAATTAATTTCATACCAAAATAAACAACCAAGATTTTATAATCACAACAAGCTAGTACCAAAGTGTCACGACAAGTCTAATATACAAAACACAAACAAATTAACCGACGAACCATCACCTTCGTTCCCGTCATTTCCTCCTTGATCTTTCCCCGATTGAAAAAGCGCATAAAGCTCATCCCTACATGTCGGATCGTTGAGCATTGCCCGAAATTTTTCCAACTACATAATAAATAACAACATATATAAACTTATAAGTTAAATTATCAAACATAAACAAAAAACTACCAAGGTACATAGCTATTTATAAACTAGGGACAAAAAACCAAAGTATATTGTTATTTCTTGCACTTAAAACTTAAACACAATTACAAACACAAATACCAAATCAACATGCATTTATTGATGCCAAAGTACATTGCTATTTTTAAACTGTGGACAAAAAACCAAAGAACATTGCTATTTTTCGCACTTAAAACATAAAAACAATTATAAACATAATTACCATATCAACATGCATTTATTGATCATTATATAGACACATGAGACTTTGAAATTAAATAATCTACTCTTTTTGTGCTAAAGAACCTTAAATACAAGAAATATCAAAGTACATTGCTATTTCTTGCACTTAAATACAAGAAATATCAAAGTACATTGATATTTCTTGCACTGGGGACAAAAACACAATAACCAAATCAACATGCATTTATTAATGCCAAAGTTCATTGCTATTTTTAAACTAAGACAAAAAACCAAAGTATATTGTTATTTCTTGCACTTAAAACTTAAACACAATTACAAACACAAATACCAAATCAACATGCATTTATTGATGCCAAAGTACATTGCTATTTTTAAACTGTGGACAAAAAACCAAAGAACATTGCTATTTTTCGCACTTAAAACATAAAAACAATTATAAACATAATTACCATATCAACATGCATTTATTGATCATTATATAGATACATGAGACTTTGAAATTAAATAATCTACTCTTTTTGTGCTAAAGAACCTTAAATACAAGAAATATCAAAGTACATTGCTATTTCTTGCACTTAAATACAAGAAATATCAAAGTACATTGATATTTCTTGCACTAGGGACAAAAACACAATAACCAAATCAACATGCATTTATTAATGCCAAAGTTCATTGCTATTTTTAAACTAAGACAAAAAACCAAAGTACATTGCTATTTCTTGCACTTGGGACAAAAACCAATTACCAAAGCTTTTAGCAAATAATCACCACAAACCAAAATTACCAAATCAACATGCATTTATTGAAATTAAATAATCTTGTTTTACCTGTGATGGTTGTGATGACTGTGGTGGTGGCCGCGGTGACTGTGCAATCGGCGAAATAGCAGAAGGTTTTCGGCCGATGCCTCTGATATGGCCACGTCGTTCACCTAAGACTCTCTCGAAAGTAGCTCTTTCTTAAGTTGGTGTTAAATCTCTTTCACCTTCTGGCCCTTGCGTTTGTTGTAAGAGCACTTCCACTAACCGATTCTGTGTTTTCCAAAAGTGATTAACAATTTAGTATAGATAAACACTTAATTATATAATAAAATTATAATGAAATACTTACGTATTGCTGTTCTGCCTTGATACTAACAAATACACCATTCCTATCGACATGAGCCTTGCGAAACGTTTCCACTCTCTTCAGGTCCTGTTTAACATTAAAAATTAGATTATATTTTAAAAAAATAATTACAAATATCGTACGTTACCTTCTTATAGCAAGTACTGCTATACGAGCTCGACCCACCATGGTTTACGGTCGTTTGCATTTCACGAACATTTTTGTTCCTTTCTGAAGCAGCTATGTGTTCAGCCGTTTGAAAATACTAAACTGTTTTCCTCCAATTATCAACATCCATATCATGCGGGGGGTTGGCTAATGCTCTCGGGATATCCTCATACCCTCCGACTTGCAAAAAATATTCTTTTGCATTAGCTTTACGCTCTCGATAACCTTTTAACAAAGTCGCCTTAAAACTCTCTAACAGCATAGCAGCGTCTGGATCCCGGGACATCCCATCCAAATCAAACTTTGTCTACAAAAACAATAAAAAAGTTAGCCAAGTAAAAACCAGTCATAGTTAACCATATAAAATATTCTTATATAAATAATTTACCGCTAAATGTTGTTTTACTATATCCTTTAGCGATGGGGGAACTTTTTTCCAAGTCCATTTATCAAAAGGGACCATCCGCCACATTATTTTTCCAACTTCGCGTGCAAACATGTCCTTCGGCTCTCCTACGGGATCATATGCCATATCCCTATCAAAGTCCATGTTAATTGGTTTGCCATTATTCAGTAAGAGCGCTCTTTCGAGCTTAAGGTTTTTCGCTTTTCCTCGGACCCTCCTATGTGGCACAACTACAAATATAATTAAAAATTATTAGAAACGGTATTTTATAATAACTTAATAAAAATAGTAAATAAAAATTTATAATAAGACATACCATCTTTCTCATGATGACCAACACCTCTACCGCTTGAGAAAGGTGGGTACTCTGCTCCATCACCCCCATGTCCACGACCCATAACAAGAGCCTTGGTGTACAAAAACAAGATTCATATTGACACAATTTCCTGCAAAATTATAAGATATACACATACACTTTCTATTAAAAATACACAATACATTGTGTACTTTTTTTATATTTTTGTTATTTATAACATTTTTTTGTTTTTTTTTCAATTATAACATTGTATTTTAAACAATTATATTATGTTGTTTTCTATTGTAGTGATTTACTTTATTTTTTCAATGCTAATAATAGCATCCTACTTTATTTGTTTTTTATTTGTTTTTTTTTTCAAAATAGCATTCTCAATAATAGCATCTTACTTTATATGTTTTTTTTTTCAATAATAGGATCCTACAATAATAGATTTCTCAATACATATATCAAATACACAATATCATACTACTTATACCAAAAAGACATGCTTTCACATACATACATATATAATAACATCAAAGATACATACTTTCACATACACATACCACATATACACAAAATACACATACATTCTTAATACATACATTAAATACACAATAACATCCTACTTATACCAAAAACACATATTTTCACATATATACATAATAACATAGTACTTATACCAAATACACAAATTTTCACACACACACACACACACCAAATTCACATATACATATATCAAATACACACATATACCACATATACACCAAATAGACATATTTTTACAATTAACAAATACACACATATACCACATATATATATATATATACACCAAATACACATATTTTTTGCAATTAATCTCCAAAATCAATAAATAGAACCTGTGGTGGCCAGGAATCAGTAGTGGGTGTAGTGGTGGTGGTAGTTGACGTCAGTGACAGCAACAGCCGGCGGTAGTGGCGGTGGCTGGAAAGGAAAAAAGCTTTTTGAAAAAAAATTGCAATTAATCACAAATACTTATGGAAATCGACATTAAAATAGAAAGAAAGGAAGAGATGAGGAAGGAAACACGAACATTGGATGAGGAAATCGACAGCAACAACAACGTCGATGGCTGGAGAGGGGAAGTTTTCGGTGGCCGCTAGTATCTCCTCTACTATGGGTTGTTAATTGAGGGAGAATCGTCGGAGGAAGGGAGAATCGTTGGAGCAAATGATCAAGAAATGAAACAAAATGAGAGCAGATTGAAGCAGAAAGAGGAAGTGATTGGGTGTAATCTGCGTCGACCTTTAGCGGCGACACCCAATAGCGGCGACACAAATCTTTAGCGCGACTTAAGAAGAGGGAAAAGAATGCGCATTTTTTTCGACCTTTAGCGGCGACTTTGTGTCGCCGGTATCGGTTTTGTGCGTTCCACGAGTTTCCCAACCATTGGATTAGAAAAACGATCGAACGGTTGGCATTTACCAGAACGTGGAAACGCGGATTAGGGTAAGTAGGCATTACTAGCGACACCAATAGCGGCAACAACACCTTTAGCGGTGACTTTTCAATTTGTCACCGCTATTGGTATCGCCGGTAATGACTATATTTCTTGTAGTGGAAAACCCAAATCGGGAAAAAACCACGGACGGAGGAAGGCGAGAACCAATCCACTAAAATATTATAGTGTTTACAGAGCTTGATCAATGATATCACAATAAGCTAAAATGATTTGGTGATGAATTATTGAAACCCTAGAAACGTCGATCAAAAGGGGGAAGAAGAAGTCTTGATTTTTGTCTGATCTCTCTAAATACAGAAAATGGCATTCAATTGAGGCTAAAAAGAATAAATGTTTTACCAATTTGGCAGATTTGGCCTTTCAAGAATGGAGCATTTACATTTCAGGAACAAGTCCATTTTAGACCTGAAACACCTATTTTAGACCTTAATCCATTTTTAGACCTGAAACACCCATTTTAGATCGAGTGCCCTTTTTAGACCTGAAATATTCATATTAGACCTAGATTGTTGGAAAGAGAATATAGCCCTTGAACTAAACAGAACTTGTCAATTTTAGAAGACATATTACCACACTGACAATAATGGTTTGTCTCGATGGAGGGCATAAACTTTGAAAGCTGCCCATTTCAATGGAAAGAAGAAAAAAACATACCTTCCAAAAACAGTAGGAACCATAAGAGCTAGGGATGGTGAACCACAAGATGTTCAAAACATTCTCCAATCATCACAAATCCTGTTTCTTTTTCTTAACAACTCATCATGCACATATCATGTATGGAAGGTTTTGTGACAGCAAAAACATGATCATAGAGGCTATTCATTGTTTCTTTTGCGTACTGACACAACTAAGTATTAGTAAATTTAACAACAACAAAATCTAAACTTTAGTATATGTAAGTAATGGAACACCATCAACCACGTTCCTAGAAACATGGCATTTTGTGGACTTGCTTGCACTCCATGTTGTTCCTACTTTGTCCCCTGTTAAGTGGCGTATACAATGATTAATTCAGGATCTAAAAAAAGAGTCTAATATCAGTTGTATCTAATACAATCATTTAACTGAGTTAGCTACTGTATTGTACAATAGTACGCAGCTAATGCTCACCTGACTTGTCACTGGCACATGATATAAAGGTTGACCAGGGACGGAGGATCCACCTTGGGAGGAGGTTGTTGGAATAATTGTGTCTGAAGAAGGTGTAGCAGAATACACAGAGTGAGATGTCTGTGATGGAAACTGTAGCTGTTGAGGATATAGAGCAGGTCTTGTTTGACCCCATGGGAATGATCGTGTGTCCACTTCAGTTGGTGACAACAATGGTGAGAATCCAGTGAAGGAAGTTCGAAATATAGGGTAGTTTATCGGAAAATAAGATCCAAATTGTGGCATTCCATGATGCATACCAGTTAATTGGTTCATTGTAAAGTTAGGATCAACAAATTTTGGTACTTGCAAACTCTGTTCTCTTGCAAGACCTTGTGACATATGACCAATTCCCATAGATTGCACCATCTATTATATAAAGCTCAAATTATAGATATAGAAAACTATAAACAGCAGGTCAAGGTAAATACTAATTAATTAAGTTATTGATATTTAAACCATAGCATTTTCCTATGCATTGCAAAACTAGTTCTAATAAACATTATACTGTGCAATTAAAAGTAAAAGGTGGAAAACCACAGTGACTTCAGAGTCCAAAATGCTCATTCTTAGAACATCTCCATGGGAATGCAAATACCCTTTCAAATGGTGCAATGTTCACTACCAAAAGCATTTTATTTGTTGAGTCATTTTCCAATGCCATGAAATCATTTTGGTTGTTATTTTATATTGTGATATTACATTATTTCATCACTTTTAGTATATTTATTACGATTTTATTATATAATTTATGTGTATTTATTAAACTATATTATTACATAAGTTTATTATTTTATAAATAATTTTTTGTATTAAAAACACTCAATTTATTATATATATATTTTAAATAGATTTATTTATTTATTTATTAGCTCGATTTAAATTAATAATTATACATTATGGAACTATTCAATTGTTACGCTACTTTGATGGTGGTTACACAGATAATTAATTATAAAATAAACAACTATTACATTCGTATTTTTTTCGTTATTAGTTTGTATGCTTGAATAATGAAGATATGCATTAAATTAGTTGTTATATTGTAATAATAATTTTTTTTATTAAGTTATATGTTTTAACAATTAGGATATGTATTATAATTTATAAATTACTTGGATTGTATTGATAAGATTACATTACATTCATCAAATCAGGTGTTACTATGATAAGCAGAAATACCTGGAGTTGCATTTGCAGAAATTTGATATACTCAATGGCATCACCTAAAATACTTGCTTTGTGTTTCTGTAGATGCTGTAAGTTTAGTTCCTAAACATGAAAGGGAAAAGAAAGGAAAAAATAAAACACCCGAAAACAGAGAAACAAAATAAAATGTTACTGTTGCTTGAAACCCATGTCATTTTGTCATCACCTTGTTGCAGTTGGGAACAAGTGTCTGGAGTGTTCTTATTCTTTCACTTATTTTAATCCTGCGCTTCTGCACAGAAGTGACAAAGGAGATGTCATCATCTTATGCGGTCACCCCCTTAAAGCACCATTGTTATTGTGCCACGAAATTGTCATCATCACGTGGAATTTTTTAATTGGTAAATGATTGAAAAAAAACAAATACATGAAAACTAAGAGTTTATTTTTGCTAGATTTGAAAATACAATCCATTCCAGTCCCCGGTTTTTTAATCAAACCATTTGTTTTTTTAGAAAAAAACATTTATTTCATCTTATCAAATCTTCACAGATATATAACATTTAGTAGTCATATGGTCTAAAATCTATGTGGCCCTTATGGATAAAGACACTTGACATAAAACTGGCTAGGGACCTAGTTGAGCCGCATCTACTACACAAAATAGAAATAATAAGATTTTTAAAGTCCAACCCCAGTAAGATTGTTATGACATATAATCATTTATAGTAAAAGATTAAAAAACCATCACTTGAACGGATGCACTACTAGAAATAAGATTGTTATGACATATAATCATCTTATAGTAAAATATTAAAAACCCATCACTTGAACGGATGCACTACTAGAAATAAAATTTGTCCTTAATCTTTAGTATTTTCCTGATTTGTTTAGTGACAGAACTAATTTATCAGAACAAGTCCACCAAAAAAACTTAACGAAGGAACTTTCTAAAATGTGACGGATACCCATTGTATCGTTAAGAGGTGACAAATTTGTGGCAAAACCACAATAATAAGGCATATTAATCCAGTTTGTTGGTGCCATTTTCAAAGTGAAGCCATATGATATGAGGTTCTTTGAGTTGGCCATTTAAAGATAAGACACCTATATATGAATGTAATAAATTGCAGAAGACAATGTAGTGGGACATTAGTTAATTGTATATAGTTGATTCTTTTAGTATCTCACCTTCTCCGTAATGTTTGATTTGGCAGTTTCCCTTAGACTTCCAGATTGTTGACAATCACGTTGCTTACTCCTCAGTTCCCTTTCCTTTTCAATTATGTTTCCCTATAACCGAAAGAAATTAAAGGAGCAATAGTTGTAACATGAAGTAGCTAAATAGAGCTTCAACAAGACCAGGAGCACAGCCACTACTCTTAGCTAGCTGTAAAATTCTGCACTTTAGACTTTCAGTATTCTCCTTCCTCAACTATTTGAGTTTCACATTAGCTTGCATACTTGATTACTTGATATAGAAACATAGATATCTGAGGGCATTAGTATATATGTAGTCTTACTTCAATATCATCAGACTTGTTCTTTGTGCCACTAGAGTACTGGCCCTGATGGAACCTATCGAAATAATCTTCTCTTCTTAATGTACATGATGTTGCTTGCACGGGTGATGGAGAAGGAAGCTCTACTTCTGATAACACTTTGATCATGTCAAAATAGCTGCGGACCTCATGGCTACTTTCCAGAGAATTATGAAGTGCCTCGCTACATAAACTTCCACTAATCTCGCCAGATGTTCTTGGGGGGACCTGTTGATTATTATCACCAGTCTTCATGAAGATCAATGTATTAATAATGCGGCTGATAGGAAGAACTAATGCTTCCAAGTCTTTATACTGTTAAGGGCATGGGACTCTTTTGCACGTTCTACGCTGACACAAGTTGTTGCATCTCGAACTTGTATCACAAATTTTTAGAAAACTCTGGAAACTTGTAGAACATTAATAAAATACAATTTTTTTTGTTTGTGAGTATTTATTTGTATCCTTAACACTAGTAAAATCAATTTTTAGAAAACTCTGGAAACTTGTAGAACTATTGTTATTTGTATCCTTTAACACTAGTAAAATCAATTAGTAGGGTCAGCAACAACCAAAAGATCCAAAAAAAACCGCAACAAACCGAAATCCTTATCAAAACAGATGGTGCGATTTTTTATTTGACAAAAACCAAACAAAACCGGTGTGGTGCGGTTTTATCCTAGAAACCAAACCGCACCACTATTATTATTATATATATTAAAAAGATTAGGTTATTATGGATGTTTAAGAATTTTTTTATGTAATTATGGATATTCACTACAAGAATAATGACCATTAGTGGCGACGAGCGTCACCGCTAAAGGTCCCGAATGTCGCCGGTGTTGGCTCGTCGCTAATGCCACAATTGTCGCCGCTAATGTTTACCGTCACCACTAATGTCCTGTCGCCACTAATATTGTCCGTCACCACTAAAAGTGTCGCCGCTAATTGTAGTTTTCTCTTTTTTTAGTTTTTTGAAAACGTTCATTCCATATACAAAACAAACATTATAAAATTATAAAAACTATTATAAATATATAAAAACGTTATAAAAACATATAACCAAAAAAACATACATAAATACACAAATACATACATAATACACATACATACATATATAATACATATACAAAAACATATATACATACATGATACACATACTAATGCACAAATACATACATAATACACATACGAACACACACACGCATATATATATATATATATATATATATATATATATATATATATATATATATATATATATATATATATATATATACATACAAGATATACATAGAAATACATATACATATACAAAATATACATTCCACATACAAAATTTAAAATAAACATATATAGAAAATGTGGTGATGTGTAATCCGGCGGAGAAGCGTGGTGGTGGACTGGTTGCGGTATTACGACAGTAGGACCAATTTTCCGGCCAATTTCCGGCTGATAACAACAAATTCCGGTAGATCTTCAGCAATTCCGACAAGTGACTAAAACAATCTGACACCACCAACGAGTATGTCACATGGGGAGAAGAGAAAAGTGTTCACAGAAGAGGGAAGAATGAGCTGGAGTAGCTGTTGCCAGAGCGGTGACAAAGAGAAAAGAGTTCATAGAAGAGGGAAGAATGAGCTGAAGGGGGTTATATCTGGGAAGGGAATTAGCGGTGGTGACGGTTTTTAGCGGCGACGGATAGAGTATTAGCGGTGACATATAGAGTATTAGCGGCGACACCTTTGGGGGAAAATTTTGATGGTCAAAATTTTTGAGTATTATCGGTGACACCTTTGGGGGGAAACTTTGGCGGTAAAAATTTTCGAGTATTAGCGGCGACACCGTCGCCGCTATCGATTTCCGGTCATTGGATTAGGACAAAATCAACGGATAAGGTTTCACCTCATATTTCGACGCGGATCGGGGTTGATAGACATTAGCGGTGGCAGCCGCCTTTAGCGGCAACACATAACGCGAAAGTTATGTGTCGTCGCTAAAGGTGGCTATCGCCGCTAATGCCATTATTCTGGACGTTTAAGAGCATGATATTTTTTGTTTGTGAATCAAAATATCAAATATCCCTATTCTAATAAAATGAATAGTTTTAATCTCATTTTGCCAAGTGTCACCCTAATATAACTCCTCATTAATATTATGTCATGTGTCATGTAGATATATTATGCAATTCATTTCAAAATTCAAATTTATATTTTCTAATTATATGTTAAATTTGAAGTTATAATAACTTTAAAATTTTTGATATATGTCTTAATTAATAATTTATTTATAATAATTGATTAATAATTATAATTTTTTATTATAAAAGTTTAATTAATTTTATAACCGTGGTTCCCACGGGTTATAAACTAGTATCACTATAACTCATAATAAAAATCTCGGTTATGACTGTTTTAATTTCACTAAACTTCTATTGTCGGCTAAAAAGGTAAAAATAAAATAAAATTGTTTCATGTTTATGGGCTAAATCATGTTGGGTAAAGAGTTAAATGCTAAAATTTTATTTATAAAAAAGGTTTCACTACTTGTCTCTAGCTGTTTTAAAATTGCACCACCATAGAAAACCACAACATTTAATTGTGTGGTTCAAAATTGAAACCGCGCCGCTAGAAACCGCACCGCTAGAAAAAACATAAAATCACACCCCATGAAAAACAACACATTGGGGTTTTAAAATTACAAAAACGGATGAATCTGGTTTGCTATTTGGTTTTATAGCCTCAAACCACATCATCCTCACCCATATCGATTATCGATTATGATTTAATCAAATCAGGTTTGTTTGATATTTAGTTTACTTATTGTATACCATCATATTACTTATTGTAAGTAGTTCCGTTGATTTGATTTTTTGTCATTTTTTGTTCTTTTTGTATTTTATTGTCTTTATTATTATTATTATTATTATTATTATAAATTTTATAGCAAATTACACGAATCGTCCCTAGTACGAGTGACAAAATACACGTTTAGTCTCTTATTTTCTAAAATTAACTTGAAATATAATTTGTTAATTTAAAACTTACATGCTTCATCCATCCGGACATAGAAATAACATTTTGTTCTTATTTATTCCCTTTTTAATTTATTTATTATTTATTAGTTATTAATGTATCAAAAAATAGTTTAATTAAATATATGGTATTTTCATCCTTCACTACAAACAAAATAACATTTTGGTTCTATTCTAGACATATACTAACCTTTTGTTCAAAAAATAAACAATAAAAAAATAAAAAAATTTAAATTAAATTAAAAAATAAAAATAACATTGGGATACATTTATTTTATAACATTTAATGGCACTTTTTACATCAAATGTCATTAGTGTTTCAATTTTATGAGAAAATAAAAGAATACTTTCCAAAATTTTCATTTCCTTTGGTTCCTTTTTTTCCCTTCCCAAAATTTCATATCATTATATTCTAAGACGTGTTTGTCAAAATTAACCGGTAGTTGTTATCTATTAACTGTTAGTTGGTTGCTTCTAGATGGAAGATGTATCACTACAAGAAAAAAAGAAATTAGCGGTGACAAAAGTCACCGCTAAAGAGTGGAAAAGTTGTCGGTAAAGGTAATAGCGACGACATGTCGCAGGTAAAAAGTCGTCGCTATTGTTCTGTCGCTATTCATCAAAATGTCACCAATAAAGACAGTTGTCGCCACTAACGTTATTGTCGCCGTTGTGTCGCCGCTAATGTTCCCGTCACCGGTAATTGTGTCGCCGGTAATAACATTTTTCAATTTTCTTAATTTTTTTAATCAACGATTTTTGTCCAAAACAACGATACATAACGACATTAAATGCAGAAAAAAAATTGCATAATATCGGATTAGGTACGAAATAGTGTAACGACATTATATATAATTAATTTTAGGGATGAACATTAGAACCGTCAGAACCGGAATCGGATCGGAACCGAAACGGAACCGGAACCGGAATTGGTAATAGGTCCGGTTACCGGTTCTCCATTTTGATGAAAACCGGTCTCGGTTCTAAAAACCAGAACCGGATTGACATTTTTTCCGTTTTTTAAAATGCGCAAAACTCACTCATATGAAGTCGGAATTATTTGATTTTTTTTCCAACATGTAATTTGCAGTTTGTAATTCATTTTTGACTATACAAACATATGTTTTGGTTAGAAATTGAATCAGACACATGCCCTGAAAGAAAGAATATCGATGCTGCATTTTTTCTATTTCAAATTTTTTTTTAATCTATCCCATTTTTTTTAAATATGCATAAGTCATTCATATGACGTCGGAATTACTTAATTTTTTCCCTGCATGTAATTTGGTGTTTCTAGTTCATTTTAGGCTATAAAAACACATATTTTGGTTAGATGTTGAATCAGTTATAGACCCCAAAAGACAACATATCAATGCTGCGTATTTTCTGTTTCAGCATTTGTTTTTTTTTTGTTTTTTTTTGGAATCTGTCCCGCTTTTAAAATATGCATAACTCATTCGTATGAAGTCGGAATTACTTGATTCTTTTTTCGTCATGTAATTTAGTGTTTGTACTTCAATTTAGAATGTAAAAAGTCACAATTTGGTTAAATATTGAATCGTTTACAAGCTCCGGAAGATAACATATCATCTATAATATTTCAACCGGTTCTAGTTTGAAAAATAACCGGAAAACCAGGACCGGAAGCGGAACCGGCACTAGAACCGGCGGTCCGGTTCCCGGTTCTTATAATATAGGAAAACCGGTTCCGGTTCCGAACCGGTCCGATTCTAAAGCTCATTTCTAATTAATTTCATATCAAAATAAACAACCAAAGTTTCATAAATACAGCAAGGTAGTACCAAAGTGTCACGACAAGTCTAACATACAAAGCATAAACTAATTATCCGACCAACTATCACCTCTATTCCCATCATTTCCTCTTTGATCTTTCCCCAATTGGAAAAATGTATAAAGCTCATCCCTACACGCCGGGTTGTTGAGCATTACCCTAAGATATTCCAACTACATAATAAATAACAACATATATAAACTTATAAGTTAAATTATCAAACATAAACAAAAAACTACCAAAGTACATTGTTATTTTTAAACTAGGGACAAAAAACCAAAGTACATTGCTATTTATTGCACCTTAAACGTAAACAAAATTACAAACACAATTACCAAATCAACATGCATTTGTTGATGCCAAAGTACATTGCTATTTTTAAACTATGGACAAAAAACCAAAGAACATTGCTATTTTTTGCACTTAAAA